CACCCCACCCCACCGCACGCACCCTCCCCCAGGGAAGCTGGTCCTGTGGCGCATGATGTTTGTGTCCCACATCATCGTAGCCCTGGTGCTGGGCAGCTTCTACTGGGGCCAGGTGCAGGGCTTCTCCCTAGGCGTGCGCAGGTGGGTGGCCGGCTGGGTGCTGGCGTTGTTGGGCAGGGACGGGGAGCGTGGGGCGTCAACTGGGCAGGTGGACTCGCAAAGCTGAGATCACGCATGTGCGTGCACACACACACACACACACACACACACATAAACACACACACACACACACGCACTCTTTGTGCACGCCTGCTTCGAACGGCAAACCGTGGCCCCTTGAATCCCTGTCACACAATGCTGATGCTGCCAAGTCATATCCCATGAGCCTGGATGGCTCCAGGAGCGGGCGACCGCGGGATCCTGTAACAATCCTAATCCTAATCCTAATCCTTGGGCGCACACACTCACACTTGCATGCACACACACGTGCACGCGCGCACACACGCACAAGCACTCCCACAAACACACACAAGCACTCATGCACACGTGGCCGCATGAACGCCTGTCATCCCCCTCCCCAGGGCCGAGGCCTTCAACGTGCTGATCGCGGCCCAGATCGCCTACTTCATCACATGCCGCTTCCTCAAGCGCACCACACTGCACCCGCGCGTGCTCTTCGGCAACCCCATCGCCCACCTGGCGAGCCTGACCACGGTCGGCATCATGGTGGGTTCACCACATCATCTCAAACCCCTGCTGCTTTCCAAGATCGTGCTTGATCTGCCGCAAGCGCAGTGTGCCGCTTGTGCGTTTGGTCAAAGGGTTGAGTGATGGTCAACGCTTCGCCAACCCCGCCCTTTGGCCTGCACATGCATGCGTCTCTCGGGGTACCGATCTGAATTTTTCTAAAAAATTCTCAGAATTGTTCCTGACATCACACCGACCAGTGCTCTTTCTCAATGCGACAATGCGGTCTCCTTCAACAGCATATCACCGTGACCCCCTCCCTCCACCCCCCCTCATCAGGTGTTCTTCACCTATGTGCCTGTCATCAACACCTTCTTTAATATGGAGCCCTGCGTCGGCATCCAGTGGGCGCGTATATGCGTGTCATTCGTCATCATGTGGATCCTGGTGCGTGAACACATGCGAGCGCCGCTGCTTTCTGCTGGCCTCAGTCGTCAGCCTTGGCCTGCCCAGCTGCGGACCCGATATTGCGTGCGGCTTTGGCGAGAACCCTCATCGAATCATCCCATCATCCCCTGGAACCCTCAAACCCTGAACCCCGCCAACCCCAGGTTGAGATTGAGAAGGTCACCTTTGCCAGGATAATGCCGCCCCTCCTGCGCCCCGTCCTCCGCTTCGTGGACGCCCACAGCCCAAGATGGATGCGCCTGGACTACCAGCCTTTCAGGACTCCGGGGCGGCTGTGCCTCACGCCGAAGACGGCCACGATGGCGCCGCAACGCAAGGGGACGCTCGTCAAGTCCAAGGCGCAGGTGTCGCCCGAGCTGCAGGCGGCGGCCGAAGCGGCTACGAGTGGCGATGGGGGCGGCGGCGGAGCGGCGCGGCTGCCCGCGGGCGCGGGCGCCAATGGGGATGCGCAGGTTTGACTCGGAATATCGATGGGGGCTCACGATTTGTTGGTGTGCACGTTGATGACGACGACGGCGACGGCGATGACGACGGCGTTGGCGATGGCAATGGCAATGGCGACGGCGACGGCGATGGGATGATGATCGTGCGCAAGAGCGAAGCAATCAAAAGGCGCACCCAGCCCCAGGCTGCCCCACCCCCATGCAGCCGGATGGTCGGAGCGCGAGACAGATGCGGGCGGCACAGCTTAAAAACACCCCTTTGTTGACTGCTTGTGGGCGCAGGGCGCGCCCACCCCCGCGCCCTCCTCATAAGCCAGCGGCGGCGCCCGCGCGCGAGCCAGCCATTCGTTGCCGGGCCGCCCGCTCGCGATCGCGGCGGGACGGCGCTTAAGCTTATTCTGTAGGCCAACCGACGGCCCTGGCCGGCTGGGCGGTCCCTCGGCCGCCCCGTGTATCTTGCCGCTTTGACCCATTGACGCTGGTTGAAGTTCTTTGCACACGCAACCGTGCGTACAGGACCGGCCGGCAGCCCTTTCGCTGGCGCCAGCAGCTTTTTGCTAGCGCCGTCCATGCCCGTGCGCTGGTGCTATGCCCTACTAACCATGTGCCGGTGGTGGTGACCCCTGGGATGGATAACATGTTCAGGTTTTGTTGCCGGCACTTCAACTACTAGGTGAAACACGATAAGTAATAAGTTGTTGGTGATTCAAAGTGATGCATCAACGCCCCAGTCAACCATTACACGAGTCAGCGGGTGCCAAGTCATCGCATTTACAGCAGCCCACTGTAGACATGCAGAGCCACCTCCTGCACAGATTATTCAAGCACGTCACTATGTTAGGTCGTCGAGCTTTTGGCGTCAAGGAGCACTGCTCGAGCAGAAGAGTCACCACTGCAAGGCTCCCAGCTGGTGTGCCAGCGAGGTCAGGTGCACGGATCACGCACTCTGGCCAATGGCCCTGCAGCAGGCGTCCACTACAGCAATGTGACGTATACCATATCTTGTCGATTGATAACTTGCATCACGCAACCCCGATCAATTTGCCCGGAGTCGCACGCACGATCAGAGATCTCATGCATCTGCACCGCTCTCACGTCTCTTCCATTATTCCACCACGGACATCACAGGTGTGATACGGTAACATCGCGCAGGACGCGTCTGTGTGAACACGGCGCAGTGGGTGACCCACTCACCACGCCTCTTGCCGCAGCAGGGGACGCTCATCGGTGCGGCGGTGCGCAAGAGCTGCAGAGCGCTCCCGCCCAGCAGGTGGGACCCATTGTCACTAGGCAAAACCGATTTCTGCGTGTGCATGTGTGCACAGTGTGTTGCAGCCGAACAGCCAACTGATGTAACTCTGTGCCTCCGCAGGCGCCGTGCGATGGCGGCCGCGGCGAGCGGGGATGTGCCGGCGGTGGTGTCGCCCCAGTGGCTGTCTGAGCGCCTGGGGCGGCCTGATGTGAGGGTTCTTGACGCCAGCTGGTACATGCCTGCCATGGGTGCGTGAGGCTAGAGGTTGAGCTGGTGGGGGCCCAGCTATTGATGGGGCGGGGCTTGGGCGGTACGCCGGAGGTGTGCTTGGGGGGGGGGTTGAGCTAGTGGTGTTGGGAGGTTGCTTGGGAACAACACGTGGGCGTTCAGCAACATTGTTGTGTTTGTTTGTGCCTCAAAGGAGGCCAGGGCGTGGGCTGCGAAGCCTCTGATGGGTGGGCAATATCGTCGCAGGCCCCCATCAAGGGCGCCGGGCGGGCAAGTTGCACCGCTGCTCGCGACGCCAGCCGCACCCCTCACACCCCTTGCCCCTTCAGCCCCGGCCCCCGTGGCCCGCCCATGTTAGCCCCGCAGCCCTCTGAACCCCGGCGCCCAACCGAACAACTGACACCAGGCCGTGACAGGATAGCAGAGTTCAAGGCCGAGCGAATTCCAGGCGCCCGGTTCTGGGACGTGGACGGCGTCGCCGATGCAAACACAGGTGCAAAGGGCACGAGGGTCTGCATATCGCACCGCCGCCAGCTGCAGCCACTCTGCACTGCCAGCGCTTTGGCTGGCGCAACCAACGAGAGCAGCCTTTGTCTGCTTGGCCTCAGCGGCGCAACAGGCTGGGACCCGCAATACCAACCATTTGGCACACACCTTATTCCCTCCCTGTCCCACGGTGCAGACCTGCCGCACATGCTTCCGTCAGAGGCGGCCTTTGGCGCCGCGGCTGACGCCCTGGGCGTGACTAATGGGGACACCGTGGTGGTGTACGACTGCCTGGGCCTGTTCAGCTCCCCGCGGGCCTGGTGGACCTGGAAGGTGGGGGGGGCGGCGGGCAGCAGCGCGTGTGGTATGTGATGTGTGTGTGTGTGTGTGTGTGTGTGTGTGTGTGTGTGTGTGTGTGTGTGTGTGTGTGTCGGGGTGCATGTCGTACGTGTCGGCCGCAGGTTTGTGATTCAATGCAAACTCCATTTTGTGCCTTTGGAGAGCCTCGAGCGAAGGGGGCGTCCCCCACGCACGCTGCCGTGGCCGCGCACAGGGTGGGCGGGGCCGGGCGCGGGCGCCGCGGGGGCATCCGTTCGCCACCTCGTAGCGCGCCCCGCGCAGGGTCCCCAGCCCCGCGCCCCGTCCCCACACGCATTCCTCCAACAATTCGCCCCCTGCGCCGCGTTGCTGCATCACCCCCCGCAGGTCTTCGGCCATGACAAGGTGGCGGTGCTCGAGGGCGGCCTGCCGGCCTGGAAGGCGGCCGGGTTCGACACAGAGGTGGAGCCCGTCACCGACGACAGCCTGCAGGCGTCCCTCAGGGCGGCGCGGGGCGAGGCGGGGACGGATGCGGGGGCAGCGGGGTACAAGGCGTCGCTGCAGCAAGACAAGGTGCGGCCCTGCGCCACTGGATGAGCCTGCTGTTTGCGGGCCTGGCTAAGGGGGGCATTGGTGGGATGGGCCCCGTTCCAGCCGTCGTCCGGCTGCAACTCCCGCAAGTTGTATATTTCCTCTGGTTTACAGCCGCCAACATATTGATACACAAACGTTGAACTTTGCTCACCCTGGCGCATGCGACTTCACACATATTCTCTCTATCTTGGTGTCTCCCTCTCTCTTGCATTCACATCCACCCCAAACCCAACACAGGTGCGCTCCATCAGTCAGATGCGCGACCTGGTCGACGCGATCGCCACTGGCGCCGTCGCCGGCTGGGAATCCGCCGGGGAGCAGCTAGTGGACGCGCGCCCCGCGGGGCGCTTCAGGGGCGCCGACCCCGAGCCACGACCGGGGCTGAGGGGCGGCCACATGCCGGGCGCCAGGAGCCTGCCGTTCCCTCAGGTGAGCATGGGGAGCTTTGGAAAAAATTGAGGGCGTGCAGCCGTGGCTGGTGCGTGCCGCTGTGCGCTCTCACCTGATGGCTGCAGATTGGCAGCCAAATGGGGCGTTTTCAAGACCGGCACGGCTGCAAGGGTGCGCGTTGACTCGTCGTGATGCACACCCAAAATCTGTCGTGCGCTGGCGCAGGTGTATGTGGACGGCCAGCTGGGCGCCGCGCGCTTCAAGTCCCCCGAGCAGCTTCTTGCCGCCTTCTCCGCCGCCGGCGTCGACCCCCAGCGGCCGGCCGTGTTCACCTGCGGCAGCGGCCTCACCGCGTGCGTGCTGGCGCTCGCGCTGCAGCAGGCGAGGGGCGGCGGGCCGCTGCCGCCGGTGTACGACGGCTCCTGGTGCGAGTGGGGGGCGCTGGAGGACACGCCCATCGTCACCGGGGCTTGACCTGAAAATCATCAGGGATCGCCAGGGTTCACCACACGCACTGCCGCCCACGCCTGCGCCCCGGCCTAACCTGGCCGAGCCCGCCGCCGCCTGACAGCCAAAGCACCCGTTGCTCTGGCTTAGTTAGGCTTCTGCAGCTGCTGATGTCAAGGTGCACCCTCCCCTAGTGGTCCCACGGCTTGCCAGCGTCGTTCCTGGCGCGCTTTGTGCTGGCCCGGTTCTCATGCTCCTCTCGACCGGCCACCCACAAGGACGATCGATCGTGGCCCTGCGGCCCCGGCGCTGCCACGTCCCCAAGGGTATCCCATCCGCCGTGCCCTCCTACGCACTGCCCACCGCGTTGATCTGGACTTGTGCACAGGCACGACTGGGTAATCACAATGAGTTGATCAACAAGGACTTGTCCGTGTTACATGCATGTGCTAGGTGCTCTCCTGTCCGCGCCGCCACAAGCGTGGGGCCTGCGCTGTGGCAGCAAGGCCGCCCTCACGAGCGGGGCTACAGTGAGCATCGCGTCGGCCGGGCGCGTGGGGGGCGGGGCGGCCGAGGTGCACGCTAGGGGAGGGCGCGGCCGCACGCTGGTGCAGGAGGAGAGGGGGTGTCGTGAGCGGCGCGTCAAAAATGGCCGGCAGCGGGCGTCGCCGGCGCTCGTGCCATGTGTAAGCGGTCCGTCGGGTCAAGGTCGGGTCACAGTGAGGGGGTCGTGGGGTCAAAGGTCTGGGGCACGGGAACACGAAAACAGTGACAGCGAGCGGGTGAGAGGATTAAGAGACCACCCCGGATCGAGGCAGGCACAACCGTCCACACAAAAGGCCATTCTCAAATACAAAGAGGTTGCCGCGGGGCTGCCCAAGGGCGAGATGCGCCCCCGGCAGCCGCAACAGCACACCGCCGTCGGCGGCGGCAGACACATCCCAAGCAAACTCACGAAATGGGGGCAGGGCCATCGCGGCGGGCGACGGCGCGGGGCCCCTGGAGCAACCGCGGGTTTGTGTGCTTTGACCTGCCCAAGGACACGATGCAAACCGCATTTGCCCCCGGCCGCCTCTGCCGCTTGTGTTGCGGGGCCCGCATGAGCGCCAAACGAGTGCGCTTTCCCGCAAAGCGACCATGGTTGATTAGGGGCCGCACGCGCGCGCTTCGCTGCGCGCGCGGCCCCCTACATGCATTGCCTGTAAGGCGTACTGCCCCGCGAAAGTCATGGAGGCGCCGGCCCCGCATATGCGCGCCGCTGCCTCGCACTCCCCCGCCCCTGCAGGCTGCCCGCCGCTGCAGCACCATGTCAGCTGCCGTCCAGGCCCGGGGCGGCCTTACACGGCGCGGCGGCGCCGCCTGGAGGGGCTGATCGCGTCCCTGACAGCTGTGTCGGGCGTAGCGGCGATGGGCGTCTTGGGGGCGGCGGCGGCGCGCCGGGTGCGGCCGGGGCTGACCAAGCGGTCGGTGGGCGTCTTGGGCGCCGCTGACGGGGCTGAGGCCTTGGCAGTGGGCGTCTTGGCTGCCGCTGCCGCCGCTGTAGGCGTCCGCACAGCCCTGGGGCTCTGTTTTGCGCGGATCATGTGTGAAGACCAGGGTGGGTCTTGGAATGGGCTCTGGGGCTTGCATTGAATTCAAGCTTTCCAAATGGCGCTGGGCGGCCCGTTGTTGAGCGCAGGCAACAGCAGGCCACCGACAGCCGGCAGCCTGCGGTCTACGACCAGGCCTCTAAGATATGTGATATGCTGCATCTCAGTCCCACAGCAGCACCTGTGGGGCCCCGAGAGAGCAGATCATCCCCGTTGTTGACGCCCACCTTTGGCTCCGCCTTGGGTGCGGGAGTCGCCAGGAGGGCCTCCTCGGATGGCTTCCTGGCCCGTGACGAGCGGCGGACGACCTTTCCGTTTTCAACGGCAAAGACTGTGCCCTGTGCTGCTGCTGCTCCCGCTGCTGCCTGCTCGGCGCCAGCCTTGCTCTGCTTGGCCGCGTCCCTGTTCAGCCACAGGACGGCTATGAAAGCCACCAGTGCCAAGGCTACGACCAGGCCAGCCACGGCCAGGTCTTGTGCCTCTGCAGGCAGGGCGAACGCTGGTGCCATTGTTGGCGTGCTGCGGTCTGAGGCTGCGTGTGACGAGCTCTTATAATCAATTAGGGATTAGGTTTGCCTTTGCGGATCGAAATGACCCCGCTTCAAGCAATCGCCGCCCTGCTCTGGCCTGGCAAGCCAGGGCAGACCTGCTCGGGTGTGGCCACACACCAGCAAACCAGGACACCTTACGTCAGCCGACCGCTTTGCACGCAACCGATTACCTTAATCCATTTTTACCAAACGACTTGCTGCAATAAGCAGTGGTCTTATCACGATGATCTCTGTCAGACGATCCACGCAACTGGAAGCCTCCGCAAGGAGGCGCGCGTGTGCCAGGTAGACGTGCCTCGACGTTAGTGCCACCGTGGTCGCAGCTGCGGGCCTCATGCAAACAGCATTGCATGCTGCGTAGCAAAGCATGCCCTGCTGTGCTCGAGCTGGCGTCACTGGCGCACAACCCGCTCGCGCCGCGCCACGCATGACCTGGCAACGTGCCCTTCGATCCTAGCGTGCTTTTCTGGAGACGCATCGCTCACCCGCCTCACACCCCCTCCGCATCTCCCCACCCGGCCCGTGCGCCCCAGCACGCGCCCCGCCGCCCGCCGCGCCGCACCCCCGCCCCGCGCCTCCGCCGCGACGCCCGCCGCGGCCGCGCCGCCGCAATCCGCGCGCGACATCAAGTCCCGCATCCTCTCCCTCGCCGGCCCAAAGTATGGCCACGGCATCGACGACTCTGCGAAATCAGAGATAGAGGTCCTGGCGGGCCAGCTGGCCGCGCTCGGGCGCGCCGCGCCCAGCGTGGTCGCGGGGGAGGTGTGGCGGCCGGTGTACAACAACAGCACCGGGAACAGCAGCGGGAAGATAACCCTGGGGCCCCTGGGGTCGGTGGTGACGGACGTGGAGCAGGTGGGTGGGTTTGGGGGGGGAGGCCACGGTGACGGAGAGGGTGGGGG